CTTTGCTTTAATTAACTAAATAATGATAATAACTGAAATGCAGGTGTATGAAACTTACTGAACCCTTAGAGACTTAAAAGAAAACTTAGGAGATGTAAATATGGAAAAATTGGAAACACCTGTGCGAAATCCCATGTTGTTTAACAGTGGTATAATTCAGCTACGAAAAGAATTTGAAAGACATCTATCCTAATATGTTAACTGCACAGTAAACCTTTTTGTACATGATTATTATCTATAGCTTTAGAAGGAAAGAGCTTTCTGAAACTCAAAATAATAAGAAGTTAAGAGCGATCTTTAATGAGCGAAAGAGGATGATTAAGACATGTTTCTATAAAAGCCTCTAATAACCGCTAAAGGACAGACTGGCTTCTGAGAAATTAATGCAGGCCTTTGCTGATCAAAAAGCAAGAAATAATATTTAACAGGATAATTTAGAAAAGTATTATTCAGAAATGTTCTCAAGCATGAAAAGCAAATATTGCAAGATTTTGGAAGAATTAGAGTAATTTTGAAGGCACAAGATTAATACTGTATAAACTGATCAAAGAAATTCAAAAAGAAACCAGTTAAATATTTTTAAGTAAAGACTTACTGCATAATATATTAAAATCGAGAAATGAGTGTAGAAGTAATATTGCAATCCCAAAAATACTAAACTCGGGTTAATTTTTTTTTTTTTCGTGTGTTTCAGATGTGTGTAATCTGAAGTTAGTAAATGCCTGTAATTTTGAATTACCGTATATCTTCGATTGCAAGATGTCATCGGTTATAAAGCTTTACCTCATAATTTCAGCATCACGAACAAAATAAAGATTTTATTTCTAAGCAGATAAAATAAATGAATAAATGAACCCCTCATGTGCATTTAGTATATATATATATATATATATATATATATTTGTTGTTGTTGTTGTGTTGTAAATTACTTCAATTTGTTAACAATAGCACTATAACTACTTAGAAATTTGGGAAAATTAGAAAATTATTTACTTCGGAACAGTTAGTAATTAGAGAAATCTGAAATCTAAGATGCAATCGATTCTAAGATGAACTAATTTTCAGCGAAGTTTTAAGACGGGGAGGGGGAAATTGCTGAAAATGTGTTAAGCATTTTAGATTTGTTTAAGTTTATTATGCAATATAGTTAATACTGCATAAATGTTGCACTACAGTTTTGTAATACTTTTGTGATTTATTTGGTTCGGAAAAAATGAGTAATTTTGAAAATTAGTAATACATAAAAAATAATATCTTGTAGCAGGCTAAAATTTCTAGCGAAGAGCTTCAAATGCCTTACACTGGCCTCTTGTATTATCAAAAAGTACCTTATGGTACTCAAATGTGTTATTTTTTAATCACAATTAGCCCCCACCAAATCGCATTTTCGCTTGTCTTCTATATCCGTAATTTAAAAATCATTTTTCCGTTACATATTTTATGCAGTACATTACGCTAATTTGCAAGAAATTGCGTACGAAATTGTCCTAAAGAAGAGAACAGTGCAAGAATTTCTATCCATCTCAAGGTGTCTTTAGATAATCCAGGGTTAAATAACTCTAGTAACTAATCACGCGCAATTAAGCTCTAGAGATCGAATGCTGGCAGTTACGATAGTAACAAAAAACAATATTTTATGTTATGTAACAAAAAAACAATATTTTATTATATCATTTATTTCATCAGGAATGACACAGTATGACGCAGAAATATTAATGACATGTAATGCAGTTTGACAAGTTAATTCCTTGAAGAACTCATTCAGAAATGACTCTATAAATTAGGAAAAGCGACAACTGATTGTCATTTGTAACTACTGATTGCTATGTATTTAATTCGCAAAGTTAATTTAACGATGTCTATCAATTTAAAATTTTTCGAATAATTTATCTTTCCGTAAAAGCGACAGCATAGTGAAGGAGCATTGCAAAACTATTAAGAAAATATAAGCATTTGAATTCCTTTTATCACTGGTCACAAATGTATTAATTTTTGACAAGGAGATAACAAAAAGAAATCGTTTCGGTACAAAAGTAGTACCAAGGCCCGTGTAAATAAACATGCACATGCATTCGAATATCCTTTAATTACAACAAAATGCTGCGTATTTAATTCACGGTTTAACTATATTAAGTAATTATATATTGATTTCGTTAACAAGTACAAAAACATACAACACTTTACGGTCACAATCATTTTTATATTGTGGTATGCAGAAGAATATGTCCTATAATGTTTGGAATTTTTGAGATTACAGAAATTTTCAGAGTGTTTTTTCTGATTTTTTTTTTTTGGCATATGCTCCAAGAAATATCCATATATTAATATTAGCGTGTTTCTAGTCCATGCGGCATAATATTTTTATCTTTCATATTAAAGCAAGGAGCAAGGAGTTTATTATTGGAATATTTGCTCTCTGTGTCTTCATTAATTGGTATAATAAATACATGTCGCGCAACATATTTTTGAAAATTATCATAATTTCTTTACAGCAAAGCACGTTACCCTCAGTTTGAAATCAAAAGAAATCAAACAATTCTTAGACAAAAGTTAAATGCCAATTCGATTGAAAGTGTAAAATATTTAGACGAACATATCAGGTATCATACAAAATGTACCCTTGCTATAGAATGTCCTTCATTTTACTCGCAATGACAATACTGTAATTCTGATTTATCTTAATTTACATTTCGTAATTATTATGCAGAAATAAAAACTTTTTAAATCTTAATTACGTCCTTATATAAAAGTCAAACAAATTGTATCCATTTTTCAATGTTTTAAAATAAAAATCGTGCTAACCGGTTTCATATAGTATTTTTCTCAAATTGTTGAAAGAATATTTCAGTTTCTAACGCGTGTTTTAGTTCTGTGTTAACTTTTAGCATCTGCGCGCCAAAGTCTTTTTTTCCTACTTTAAGAAGCCTTTATAAGCCTTCAAATCATCGCCATATCTGAGGCAATACGTTTGAAAAGAAAACTGCTACTTTTCAAAGCTATTTCTAGGAACACCTGTAGAAAAGAAATCTCAATCGATATTTATTCTTTGAAAGACTGAATTTCTTATCCCGTAAGGCCATCTGGTGGCAAATGTAAAAACTACCAGGCTACTCGGCTAATTTTATGTTTCGAATGTAGTATACTCTCAAAAGGTAATAAAGATGAAAACTAACCAACACTTTTTTAAACCTATTTAAATTACGGGAAGCGTAATTAAGGTAATTTAAATTTTCTACCATAATAATTAATTTAATTTTTGAGTAAATAATAAAAAGCAACACTAAAATTATAAGAAAACATTAGGAACATTATTGTTTGGAAGGCGAGGAAAACAATGGCACTGTCTTTTTCGAAATTATTTACACGCTTATGCCGAATTTTCCATAACATGAGAAATATAGACTCAATGAGAAAGCATTGTAGCCATAAGGAATAATCAAATGCGTTTTGATGACTTTAAATTAACATAAAAAATGACGCTTATTATTATAGTCAAGCTAATGAGCATAATTTCGAATTACAAAACGTGCAAATCTGAAAAGCCTTTCTAAACAACAAATAGCCTTCTGATTAAATCATTTCAGTATCTGTATGTAATAATTAACACGCTCTATCAGTCATACATTACGATTTCACTTCAAAAATTGTTGATTAACCTCTTTAAATTTTGCATCACATATCGAGATAGTCCCCCCCCCAAATCTTTGAGAAGCTGTTACCCGTTTCTTATCTCCAAAAGAAAAAAGTTTTCACAAGTTTGATTGCTTACTTTTGGCTTTAATTTCAAAGCGAAAGTAGTTCTAGTCTTTCTGTGTGTGTGTGTGTGTTATTATGGCAAAGCCTCGAGGGCTATCTGCCTAAAGGGAGGGATGCCTTTCGTGGAGGACTTTCTAAGGGAAACTGGCTCGTATACACGTTACACATGGGGAAAACCACTAGTCTTTCTGAATAAGTAGCATTCAGAAGATGAAACGTTTAATGAGAAAATTATACTAAGCGTAAAAATTATGTCATTCTCTTTTATTCTCAAGATTAATTGCGCATTTAGCGTAGGTTATTTTGAAATGAGTTTATATATGTTAATTTTTAATTTATCTATGTAAGCTAGGTTACAAGCATTAATGAAACAAAATTTAATATACTTAAATTAATCATTCCTGCTAAACTCTCTGAATGAATGTAAAATGCATTTCCGAATGCATAAATGCATTTGGAAAAATCTCGTTTACAAACAATTAAAAACTACGCTAGATGAGTAATACAAGCAAAATTTGAAACATACTCTACATTCTTTGATTATTTATACGATATCCCATGTTGACACAGTGTGAAGTTTTACATTTAGGTTGTTACAGAAAACATCACACTTTTAAAAGAAAAATATCACACGGAGAGATCTGTATAGTCAGTTCAATGTTTTAGTGTAAATGTAATAAAATAACTCAAATGTTTCTCCTCCATTTCTTTTTTTTTTTTTTTTTTCTTTCTATAAATAAATTTAACCAACGTACAGCATTAATGTTTTAGAATAAAATGGTGGCATTTGTATTTGAATATTAAAATCTTATGGTATTTTTGTTACTAGAAATCTTAAGTGATAGCTTCTTTAAATTTAATAACGTTTATCTAATGAATATATAAGTTAAATTATATATACATATGCTCCCTTAATAAACTAGTTTTGTAAAAGTTATCTCTCTCTTGCTTTTAATGTAAAGTTAATTTTTCGATGCATTAATATAAAATAGAAGCTTTTGACTGCTCGTTGTTACCGTCCCCCAGGTCTCTTTGATTTAAACAGAATTAGTATGATTGTAACTGTCAAATATTTCGCGTTTTTCTGCTTTTTATTATTTTGAATGCTGAGATATGAGTTTTGATTTAGCTGCGATTTAAGTTTTATAGTTTTGCTTAGAAATTCTGAAATTTTTTCCCAGTGCATAAATTTAAGTTAAGTTTGTTATTTATCAGTAACCAATTTGACGAATTTCATCTTACAGAATGGGAGTGGATGCCATGATTACAAACTATCCTGATCGTTTAGTAAGTGTTCTTGCGGAAGAAGAATTTTCTGGGAAACTGAAATTAGCCACTTTCGAAGACAGTCCATGGCAAAAGCTTCCTAGAAGAACTGAAAACTTTATTAGTCAGGTACCTCAAGCCCGTGGTGGAAGTATTTCCAGAGAAGACTATATAAATGATGAGGAAGACGAAATCTTGTACAATTGCTAAATATATGAGAAATAAATTTTTGTTCATAGTGTATGAGTTTTAGAAAGCGTATAAAAGGTTCATTCTAATCTACCTTGAACTGTAAACCAATGCCTTACTTTTTGAGAGTCACAAAAAAGGACACTTAATGAACTTCCCCCCCCCCATCAAATTCTGCATCACTGATTTAAAAAAATAATTTTGGCAAGGTCTTGATTGGAAAGGATACAGCAAAGAAATATCAAATGGATTCTTTTTTACAATAAGATTTTAATTGAAAAGACTATAAATAGAATTTAAAATTACACTATCTTTTAGGACATCCCTATATAAATTTTGTTTAATTTTAATTGTATAATAATTATTTTAATGTGCAACTTTTGTAATATGTCCATAGAAACATAATTTTCAATGATATAGTGATCTTTTCTTTATACATCCTACTGAATTATGCTAATCTTAGGTGACTTATACCAGAAGCCAAACCAAAAATATACCATTTATTACTTCTTTCATTTTTATTTTCAAAGAGTATCAGCATCTGCTTTTCTTCAAAAAATTTCTCAATATCTACTTCATTAACATAAAAGAAATGTAACTCATAGCGAATGCTACTTAAAATGTATTTCGCACCATTCGCTATGAGGCCATGGCCTCATAGCGAGTTCATTTCTTAAGCTCGCCACGCTCGAACAATACATAACAGCAATATTTAAAAAAAACGCGAATTACACAGTGTTTGGAAGAATAGATACCAAACGACAAGTAATAAAAATGCAATTTGCAATCAATAAAAAAATATTTAGTCCTTTTTAAATATTACACAATTAAGTATGGCATAATTATAGATTACAATATTTCATAGTAATGCTAATATTTCCTTAACACTATTTTTTCAATCATATGCGCAAAGTCTGAGCACCAACCTGTATCCATGAACACAATAATCGATTAATATGAATGATATACGCTATAGCACTTAGTACGTTATAACCGAATCCGTGTATCCAAATATAACGATAATAAGTGTATCCAAATATTGCACCTGTGGAGCTACTGAAAATTGGAAAACAACAGTATAATTTTAATCAAGGGAAAGTAATAAAAAACCAAAACAGAACACTATTTAACTCAGCGTCGGATTTAGCATTTTTCCTAGGCGGGGCAAAAACTTAAAACTGCCGCCCTCACCCATCTTCCTTAAAGTTTCTCTAACAAATTTTAATTCTTTGAATAAACATAGAAATATGTAGGGTTTGAGATAAAATATAAAATTCATTTTATAATAAGAAATTCTTTATGTGCCATTTTTGTTATAAAAGAAATATACATAACAAATGGTTTAGTTTCTTTACTTATGACAAAACACCTGCCTAAGAGAAGAAATCGCTGAGGACTTTCTAAGAGTAATTGGCTCATATTCAAGTTATGTATGAGCGAAACGACGGAAACACCCATACAGCCAGCTAATTCGCTTGATTCTAAACCCCCGACCGAACTGCTAGTGTTCAGACTTTACCATTCAGCCGCTGGTGACCCGACATACATACCAAAATTTACATAATTAAAAACCCGTGCGAACCCTCCTAATGCAGTTTCTTCTCCGGTGCATTGAAATAATCAAATTTACATTTCCCCTGAAATAGGGATTTTTATCAATATTTGCAACAATACCTACTCATACTAATAAATGATACTAATAGAAAACAACTCAGTACTAAATACTAAAATAGTTCAGCACAGTACGAAAAGAGGAATCACACACTAATAAGTAATAAAAAATATTATTTAAGCAAATATAAACAAATTACAAATAACTAATGCAATGGATTGAATAATTTTATACCAATTTCTCGATACTAACAATAACTTTAACCCAGCACGTTAAAAATTCATTTCACAATAACGCCTTCATGTAGCCTACTCAAGAACTCTACTATCGTCCTCATAAAGCCCGATAACATAATAAATATTTACATAGTCAGACAAAAAACTATTTTTGTACTGTAATAATCAAATTTACATTTTCTCTGAAATACGCAATTTTTCAATATTTGCAACAATGGCTAGACAATGGAAATGATTCAGTTACTCTTTTACAAAAATATTACTTTAAGACTACAATACAAAGATAATTAACTGCGAAGACTACCAATCCGATAAATAACATATGTCTCACCAGCATCCCTCATCTTTGTTTAATTTTAATAGCCTATATTTATCTACTACGTCCTCATAAGCCCGATAACATATAAATATTTTACATAGTCAAGAGAACAAAAACATTTTGTACTGTAATAAGTCAAATTATGTTAAAATTTTTCCTCTGAAATCCTCATTTTTCAATAGTTTGCAACAAGGCATGACCAATGGAAAATGATTCAGACATAAATACTAACGCAGGTCGCATAGTACAAATAAATAGAACTGACATCACTTACTAATAATTAATTCTTAAAAATATATATATAAGTTACAAATCACGAATGAAATAGTTCTATGAACACACCAAATTCTCTAAAATAACAACTTTAACCCAGCACGTTAAAAATTCATTTCATTAACGCCTTTATGTAGGCTACTCAAGAACTGTACTATCGTCCTCACACAGCCCGATAACATAATAAATATTTACATATTCATACAAAAGACTTTTTTTGCACTGTAATAATTAAATTTACGTTTCCTCCGAAATATGCAGGTGTTTGCAAAAAACTGCGTACTATGAAAGTATCATACATACTAAAAGTTCCAAACGATGTGCACTTCAAATAGCTTAACGAAATAATGCAAATCACACAATGAAAAGAATCTTTTTTTTCAATAACTTCAGGGTCAATGTTCTTCTTACCTTCTTCGGAACATACAAGGACCTGACGGAACAGAGAGCTTACTAAAGCTATGTTCACTAATTGTAGTAAGTAGACAGGATACAGACGAAGGGTATACAAAACCCTTTATTTTTTCTCTTTATATACAATGACTTCCGTACTTCGGAATACAATGACCCTCCACTCGGGGTCTAACGTAAAAGTATAAAAATAAAACTAAACTCTAATTTAACTTTAGAATAAAACGTGGAAGATTGGCCTTATAATAACAGGAAGCGTATGTAGCACAGAGACTGTGAACACTACAATACGTTTAATTTATCAAGAGGATTAAAACCTCTGGCCTGGAAGGCAAAGTAGCAACTGCGTAACTTCTAAGGTAAGCGGCCTGCTTCGAACTCACTGCTTCCTCTCTCTCGCTTGGCAAAAAGGCCACACTTAAATACTTGGCGTTCGCCAGACAAACTTTGCATAAAACCTTCACGCTTATAATTCTGGCCGGAAGTAGAAAATAAGAAGTGATAGTAAAGATTTAAAATAAAATAAACGTTAGTAAAACTTAAGATCCTTACATACTTCCCGCCTTGAAACTGAGGTCTAAAACGACCTTGTTGAAAACTTTTAGCTCTAGAATCTAACGCGAGGCCAATACAAAATACTAGAAACGTACAATAGCAGCTCCCCAACAATTTTTTTTCATCTGTACTGCATCTAAACAGGAGCTTTTATTCAATTCTGGTTCCTTCCAGAGATCTGGAAGGAAAACTAGTTTAATGAAATGTTACAATGAACATGGCAATAACATATTATACTTTCTCTTAACATTCTTATTTCATTCATGACTATTTTAATTATCTCTCCCCGTGCTCTCTGACATGTGTTGTAAAAGAACACCAAACACGAATGTGTTTCTGTCTACGTGTTCCACACTTCCTCCTACAATCAAAACACTAACGTGTTAAAATTCAACATAACGAGACCTCTTAACACACCCTAATTTCAACTCTAAACCCTGAGGTACTATTCTGAAAGTGGCTAACTCTAAAGTGTAGCGTCAGAGAGCCTAACTACATCATTCAACCTTTAACACATATTCACCATGATTTAGTCTTTTTACAGTCACACACGAATAAACAAAATTTTTAACATTACTTTCACTTTTTACCATATCACGGTATTTCTTAACATTTAAAATAACAGTTCACATTGTATATAAGAACATATTCAACATGCCGTTAATTTTACATTTGAAAACATACATTAGTAGTACATTGTTAACTTCTATTCTTTTCAAAGCAAGTGCCAATTCTTTCTACATTGAAATACTACATTTCAAAAAGTCTTTCAGACTAAAACTTCTTCTTTTGCTAGAATGTTTTAAATAAAATTTATACAATAACTTTTTTACAATATTTAAGTCTTTACACAACGCTATTATACATCAACTTTAGTTTTTACGCGCGAGTAATTGAAAAACATAATAGAAAATCGGTAACAACTCATTTCTCGCCCTTTTGGCGATAAAGGTAGACCTCGCATGAGGTAAAACTTCTTGAAATCTGCCACTTGCAGTAAGAATGAAAGATTAACTTAAGTTTGCAAAGTAACATAAAATTTTTTACTTATCTTTGTAATATTCGGACATCCTTTTCTGGGCCCAGTCTTTAAAGGTATTGCAGATAGTTGTTTGATTTATCCTCCTTCTTGTACGGGCTCGCCCTTCAGTGCTCCTTCCTCTGGAAGCTTCCTTTTTTCACCACCAGTTCGGCCACCCTTGAATACCATCTTCCTTTTTCTCTCTGCTTGTGGTCTTGGCCGTTTGATGGCAGCTGGTCTTGGCGGAACCGGGAAACTTCTGTCGTGTTCCTGCTTGGACCTCGTTGTTGGCCGTTCAAATTTTTCCTTGTACTTTTTTCCTCCGCCGCTGATGGCCCTTCCGCAGTTCGGCGACTTTTGCTGCGGAGAGTTCCTGTCGGATGAGAGTCGATCTTCCGTTTTAGAGCCGGGTTATAGTTGCCGTCATTTCTCCTGGTTCTCTTTCACATACGTCGTCCTTCTCCCTTCTTCATTCTGGGGGTGTTCGTGAACTCTCTTTTCTGGACGGTGGAACGGCTTCTTTTTCTTGCTACCTTCAATTTTTCCGCGGGGCAATTTTCTTTTCACTTGCTTCCTGCCTCTCATTGGCTTGCCCTTGTACTTGTCGTTTTTTCCCACCTCTGGAAG